GTATAAAAATACTGAGTTTCCCATTAAGGAACTCCTAAACAAACAAACAAAACAACTCAAAATTCGTTGAGTTCCTTTGGCAATAACAAGTCATTAGGAAGAATTAACATGGCTCCATTTTTCTTCTTTCAGGGTCTACTTTCTGTAGGTGGGATTTTTAAAGCAGGATACTAGTACACAGGTAGCAGGGTGATAATGTAATTTTAAGATAAATTTTTTTTTCTTGCTTTGGGAAAGCAGTATTTATACTCAGCTATATTAATGAAAATAGCAATTAGGCTTTTACACAAACAGTCAAAAGTTGGCTGTTACTTATCCTGGGGTAACCACCCATGGCACATTTCATTCAGAACAACTTTCAGATTATTCAGCAGATACATAATGTGACCCTGTTGATCATGTGGAAAATTCATGTGTTAGGAGTTATAAAGAATACGACACAGTTCTCTCCTCTCTGCCCCACATACCAAATTTAGTTGTGGAAATAAGACAAATAATTTTAAAATGGCATTTGAGAAATATCACAAATAAACTGGATAAAATAAAATAAAGAAATCCATTTATTCTAAAGGACTATAGTCTATGACAAGGGTAATTCCCAAACTTTTGACATATGTGTACCCCTTCTATAATTTTTGTAACGCTGAGTACCCCTCGTACTCATGAGAATGTAGAATTAGGCGCAGCTAAGCACAGTGCAGTGCATATCCCCACCAAACTCCGGTGCAACGCGTACCCTCACCAAACTCTTCCTGTACCCCTGGAGGTACTCCTACACCACTTTGGGGTACTGGAAGATGCTGTTGGTAATGGGCAGTTACCAAAGGAAATTTAAGAAAGAAAGGGATTTGATCAAAGTTATGCATTATGAATATGTTTTAAATACGTTTCTATTGATTTCAGATAGAGGGAAAGGGAGAGGGAGATACAGAAACATCTATAAGAAATTAAATCATGTATCCACTGCCTCCTGCGTGCCCCTACTGGGAATCAAGTCTGCAACCCACATATGTGCCCTGACCAGGAATCGAACCATGACCTCCTAGTTTATGGGTCAGTGCTCAACCACTGAGCTACACCAGCTGGGCTGTGTTATGAATATTAATTTATAGGATGTATTGGAAGAGGGAGAGATAGGAAAGAGAGAGACCAATTAAGAGACTACCATTTCTCTAATTCAAAAACTTGAAACCTTTCCCAGTGCTTCCTGAATTATGCATGGTCTGGTATTAATGCCCTCCCAATTCGGTCATAATATATTTTGGTGTTCTACCCCATTCCTCCCCTTGAAGATACTCTAATTAAATTGGCAAAACAAAATAAAAAAGTCATATGCTTACCAACTTCTTTGCTGATGTTATGTCTTTTTTCTTTGCCTACAATGGCCAGCCTCTTTACCTATTAAATATTCATTCATTCATTTGTGGGTTGGAGCTATTTTAAGATTTAGGGATTGATTGGTAAAATACAAGCTGTTAACCTACATGGAATTAGTTGCTCAAAAGAATAATTATAATTCAATGTAGTCAGTAGAATGACAGAGAAAAATCTGTTTTTGGAGGAACCTCAGGAAGGTGTACCTGAATCTTCTCCTTAGGGAGTTGGTAGAAAGGGAAGAGTCCTGGAAGAGGCAATGCATGTCCTGTGCCTTAGGATGAATAGCTTTACCTGGTAGGTAAAGAATAGAAAAGAAAATGGGGGGAAATATTTCAAGCTGAGACAACAGACCAAGCAAAGGCACTGAACTACACAATAGGGACTATATTAGGGAAATGCAAGCAATTCGGTGTTTCTAGATAATGTAAAATCTGAAGCTGATACTTTTAGCAGAAGAATTTTTTGGTGTTTTTTTATTTGTTTGTTTACTTGTTTGTTTGTTTTTTATAGAAAAGCTTATGAGAAGCCTTATATAGCAAACAGTTCAGAATTATGTCCTGGCTGAAACAGAAGGCTGCTTTTACTCATAATATACATCCACTGTGTCAGGATACAGTAGACTTGAACATCACTTAAACATCTTTAGAGAAAAAATTACAGAGCATTTTCTTTTGATAGCATAAACTTGGTTTCCTTTACTTGATTATTTAATCTGCATGTACACAGATTGAAATTGAAGTTATTTTATGTATAATTCTAAAAAATGAAAGGCAATTTGTAGAAAATATGAGGTATATGTATATAAATAGTATTTGTAAGTAAATTTACTTATGCATATTGCTCCTCCTTTGTCATGGATGGTTTGGAACTAACAGGTTCAGGATTCAGAAATTACGTTCAACTTTGTTATTAGCATATCTTAGATCCATGAGAAGCCATATACTCCTTACTGTGTTCCATTTGCCTCATCTGCAAATGAATTAAATTCATTAAAGCACTTGATTTTATTTTTTTCCTGAGGAAAAATTAGACTTGGGGCACAGTATAAGGCCAAAGAGGTTAAAAAGAATTCCTCTCATGTTATAGAACCTGGAAGATATACAAATTTTAAAGACTAATTCAATATAAAAAATAAATGTATACTAGTAAATATCCTGGCTGGTATTGCTCAGTTTGTTAGGTGTTGTCCTATGCACCAAAAGGTTGCCAGTTCAATTCCTGGCCAGAGTACATGTCCAGGTTGTGGGCTTCATCCCTGGTAGTGGGCATGTAGCAGGTAGCAAATTAATGTTCTGCTCTCACATTGATGTTTTTCTCTCTCTTCCCCTCCCTCTAAAAATCAATAAAAATCTTTAAAAAAATTAAACTAGTAAACTAAATTAGGGCAGTTAGAATGGACAACATAGCTTTTCTAAAATTGACTTTCTAAAACTGATTCTCTAATTTGGTATCCTCTTCTTTTTTTAGGATGTGTACAAAGATTGGTGAACTCCAACTTAGTTTGAAAATACTTGAAATATGATCCCTCTAATTTTCAAGTAGATCAATATATTGTAAAAATATTTTACATAGGGATCAATCTATAATGTTGTAAAAGATTCATAAGAAGTGCAGGTTTAGAATAAAAGTCAACACTATTCTCCCATATATCCCAAGTGAGAGATAGTATACCCCAATAGTAAGTGATACTTTGAATGAAACCTTTTATTACATTTTAAGTTACAATAGTGGGAAATGAAGAGTCTACATGAAAACTGAGAAAATAATTGTGAGTGAAATTTAGGCCCAAATAAGTTTTATATATTTTATGTATCTTCTCCTTGGACATACTAGAGGTAAAGTATATTATAATAGAGGCCATTTCTTATTTTCCCCCCAAATGTAGTCTTTATACATTTTCACAGGAAAAGATCATAGGTCATTTCCTCCTATAATATAAAAAATAACTACATTTTTTCCTTATTGCTTGAACTTTCATTACTTCAGATAATAGGTGCTTTTAGAACTTGGAGGAAAATGGTTTATTTAGGTTCTTCTGTTTGTTCAGAGATACAAACTTTCCCTTCTACCTCTGTTCCTTTCTACTTTGAAGGCAGGAGGTACATTTTTGCCTCTTACTAGATGAGAGCTATTTAACCTCTCTCTACTACTCTTTTAATTATTTAATGAGAGATAATATAATTTTCATCCTGAAAGGGCTGAATGACTTGGATTACCATTTGTGAAGTTTTATATTACAGAGTGCTTTTGGAATAGTTCATCTCTTTATTGATACTATTATTTGGTTTCCACTTATTTTTTTTTAGAATGTTACCATTGTTAATTCTGCTTCTTGATTTCTCAGTGTGCAAGTAATGTAAGCATAGTTATGATAATGAGGAAATGGTGAATTTTTGGTCCTATAAAGAGTTTGAAAATTTTAAGTCCATTATAAAGACATGAGGACTTTGCTCTTCAGATTCTCAGTGGCACAGAGAGAGTTTCCCTTACTATTACCCACTTGACCCCAGTCATAGGAGTTAGATTACTGAAGCAAAGTTGAAGACATGTACAATACATGCAAGCCTGTGTGTATTCCAGTTTTTCTAGATCAGTTGATGTGATATGTATTCACTGCAATCATTTGTAAAAATAAAATTATTCCCCATCTGTAAAAGAGGGTTAATAGTGGCTCCCTCATAATGTCACTTATGTAAATTCCTTAGCCCTGCACATAGTAAGAACTCAGTGCTAGTCATTATTATTGAAATTGTTGAAATTTCAATATGAGAGCCATAAGAAATAAGAAACTATGATTAATTACTGGTATATTTTGCCAAACTAAGATGTTACCAAAATAGATGTTATCTTAATTTTGATAAAGATTACTAGCAAAATCTCACTGAAAATGTATTTTATTAACTACTAGAGGCTAGGTGCATGAAATTCGGGCATGGGTTGGGTCCCTAGGCCTGACTAGAGATTAGGGCCGATTGGAGCCTTCCAGCTGCTGCCTGGGGCCTTCCTTCACTTCGCACCACCCCCTAGTGGCCAGTGCACATCATAGCGAGCCATCGAATTCCTCGTCTCCCTGTCAAACTCCCAAGGGGACACTTTGCATATTAGCCTTTTATATATATATAGACAAGTGCTTAATTCCAAAATTAAAGAAAAGTTGGGTCATTTTACTTCTTTTATCTAGCAAAACCTCCTTTTAAGAGAATGTCGTAGCTAAATCTTTCTGGTTGACTTTTATTTCCATTTACCTTATTGAGCATTGGGCAGAATTGGAACTTGTGAGCCAGTGTCTTATGTAAAAGAATCTTTTATTTGTGTGGGTGTTTTGTTTTGTTTCCTGAACTCTCAAAACAGATGCACACCTGGATAAGATTTGTACATACTTCAATTAAGCTAATTTACATACTCACTTTTCCTGATCTTTTGGTTTTCTTTTCAAAGAAAAGCTTCCTGAAAAGGGGTTGGTAAGTCTTTACCATTGTGTATACTTTATTCCTACATTTCTTCTACTTTGCTCTGATGATTACAAACTCCTGTCTTTATTAACTGAAAACATTATTCAGTTGGAAAGTTGTTATGGCAAACTCACTATTAAGTTTCATCTCTTTTTCTTTTGGTTAACTTAGATACCCACAGAGGGAGGTCAGGAGCAGCAGGCCGATTCCACCAAAGGGAGATGCCTGAGAAGAACTGTCAGTGTCCCTTCAGAGGGCCAGTTTCCTGAGTACCCACCAGAGGGCACCACTAAACTGGGTAAGCTAATAAAATAAATTGCTAGCTTTTATCTGGTAATTTATGGGTTTGTTGTTGAGTGTTACAATAAAACAAAACATCCTGTATTTCCCATTAAGGAAGCACATTGATATGTTAACCAAGAGTTAGAAGTCATTAGAAAGTTTTATTCTTTGAAACCAAGTGGCAGCAGTTATTTTTATAGAGATAACATTTATCTAAGCTTTGTAAGTTTGCTCTAGACAAGTTGTTTCTGAGTTTACTGCTTGGCTTTAAATTTTGAAAGACCATTAGGTGATCTTGTTGAAGTACTGGGATTAACTGGGTAGCTAGTATTGTATGGAAACTTAGTATTAAGTGGTTTGTGTCCTGTTCAAGCTACTGATTCCACCTTATGTAATGTAATGTCAGATCAGGCTACTATAGCTGAGCTAATTTTACATATCTCATGTAAGTTATATTCAGGACTATGGTTAAAGGGGTGACAGAAGAGAGAAATAAACAAACAAACAAACAAACGTGTGTGTTGTTATACCCTAAAGAAATTGTCAGCATCAAAGCAGCTTTTTCCTGGTTTCCTACCAAATGTATTGTTTCATATTTGCGTGCTTGCCAGTGGATATATAAATATTTAGGTCAGGTAATTTTAAGGGAACATAATTAAAATTAAATAAAATAATGAAAGGATTAGAATAGTAAGAAGTGCTTTATATCATTGGTGTTATTATTTGCTTAGTGAACTTAGATGTTTAATCACAGACATTTGCTAGGTACATAAGTCAGAACTATTTATTGTCTGTATGTTGGTGAATATGTGTTTTTGAATATCAGGGTTTGGTTTTTCTTGTTTGTTTTTCTTCATTTCTCTTCATAATTTAATTGGAACTCAGAATTCTTGGTCAGAATTTGAATATTTTATTTATCTTTTTATCCTGTAACAGTTGTTGCCTTTCTAGAAATTATTTAGATTAGCAAACACTTTTGTCCAAGGAATCACACTTAGAGAAATCAGATTTTCCTCTCATTTTATTTACATCGTACTTCTTTAGCATGTGTTGAATCCAGTTTAGGTATTGGCATAAATTGTGTTGCAAACCTGTCTGGGTGTAACCATATTATAGCCTGTTTGTATTTCTTGTATGTGTTCTATGTAACTTGGACTGGTTCAAGGTCACCTTCTTTCAGTTCCTTTGCTATTATTCACAATGTTGTTATGTTGATGACTATCATTGTCACTCTAGAAACCTTTGACAAGCTTTAGCACACAAAGAATATATATTCATAGTCTGAAGAATTGGTATAATTTTAAAGAAGAGAGAACTATATCATAAATTGTTAAATATCTTCAACATTGCATGCACTAGTCCCAATGACAAACTAAGATGAGGTGGCCAAGGTGCTTAGTCCAGAGCCAATCCTCCACTTTCTGTCCTAGACAAAACATCTTGATTCATGGCAGACTGTGATCATTTTTGGAGTGGATATTCTAAATTAGCACTGAAAGCTATTGCTCATAAATATTAGAGGGGAAAAGACTACTTTTAGAGCCTTTTTTTTTCCTTACATGCCAGTCTTATGTTGAATTAGAACATTATTTTATTCTATTTTTATCTCCTAGTGATTTGTCTTTTAGCAAAATTTCATGCTGTCAAATATTGAATTGAATAATTGCTGTATATGTAACATTCTATGCCAGTCCCTAAGTGAAAAGAGGTGTAACATTTCTGTCTTTAGAAGATTCTTACATAATTAGGAAGATAGATTATTGATGACTTTTCACAGTACGTGTTATTATTTATTGTGTTACATTGTGTGGCTTTCGTTGATTTTTAATTTTTTAAAAAAAATTCATTTGTTTATGCAGCAAATAGTCATTGAGTGACAACTTTGAGACACAAGAGTGAACAAAATATAGACAAAGCTTTCTCCCCTTGTGAAGCTTACATTCTAGTGAGGAATGATAGACAGTAAGCAAGAGTTAATAAGTAAAATATACTGTGCTAGTTGGAGATAAGTACAAAGTAAAAAAAGGAAATAGGAAGCATTGAGGAAGAATAATTTTAGCTAAGCTGACCAAAGAATGCCTCTCTGTTAAGTGACATTTGAGTCAAGACCTGATTAAAGTCTATACATAAAGGTAACTGAGATTACTTTAACATAGAATGTCAGAGTGAAAAACTAAGGTCTGAATAATGAATATCATTTAAAAGTCAGGCATGTGGATACCTGGGGTGAGGATTTCCACTCAGGGGAATAGCAAGTGTAAAGGAGACATATGCTTGGAATGTTTTAGGAGCAGCATAGCTGCCAGGGAGGCTGGAGTGGAATCGACAGGGAAGAGTAGTAGGAGATGACTTCATTGAGCAGATGAAGGCCTTGTAGATAGGTCATCAGGAGGGCTTTGGCTTTTATCCTGTGAGATAGGGAGCCACTGGCTTCTATATTGAGAACAGGGGTGCGAGAATGGGAGTTCAGAGACCGATTGGAATGCTGTCGCAATGATTTGGAGAAGAGATGATAAAACTTGCCCCTGATGGTAACAGTGGAAAGGCTGAGAAATGTCTAGATTATGAATACGTTCGAAGGTAGAGCAAATAGAATTTGTTTGTTGGATTGGATGTAGGAAGTGAGAAACAAAAAATGGCTAGAGCAGTAAGAATGAAATTGTCGTGTGTGGTTTTTTTAAAAAAATTTTTTGAATTGAATTTTAGAGAGAGAGGAAGGGAGAGGGAGAGAGAAACATCAGTGTCAGAGCAAACATCTATCAACTGCCTCCTGCATGCTCCCTACCAGGGATTGCGCTCACAACCTTGTAACTATGTTTTTCTACATTTATTGACCTAAGTGATAAAAATTTGAGGAAACTTTGAAGAAAATAAATGTTAAAGCATAATATTTTCTCCAAGGCATTTCTAAAATTATAAAAGTTAACTTTTATAGGCCAAATTTTTAAATGATATTCATTATTCAGACCTTAGTTTTTCACTCTGACATTCTATGTTAAAGTAATCTCAGTTACCTTTATGTATAAACTAATGATGACTCTCTTTATTCCCAAGATATTTATTTATTAGGAGTATCTAGGTAATTTATGACATATTTTTAAGATGCTAAAATCTATGAAAATACGTGGTAATAATAACATTGAAGGAAGGATAAATGAGTAATGAAGATTTAATATTTCAAGAATTTTTCAAGTAATAGAATTAAAAATGCTGATAAATAATGCCTGTGTTTTGTAGCACTCAATATTTAGATTGACTATTAAGTTATGTGTGAGTGTGTGTGTGTGTATATGTGTGTGTATATATATATATATATATATGTGTGTGTGTGTGTGTGTGTGTGTGTGTGTGTGTGTGTTATATACATACATACTAACACTATTCAATAGAAGAAACTTGTAAACTTTAGGGTAATATGCATACAAATGAGCAAAACATTTATGAAAAAAGTCAGCAGTCTGGTATTTCTAGCTCTGAAAATTAGAACTCAGTGCATAATGGCAGTGCTTGGTTTTCTTTGAAATGCCCTAAAAATGTTGTCTTGTTTCCTTCCAATAAAATAAACTAAGACTATTTCACAATTATCTAAGTAAGCTCATGCTAAGAGAGCTATATAATATCCATCCTTTGTACTTGTATTCCATCATTCCCAGATTTCATTGACATAATAGAGGCCTGGTGCACAGATTCATGCACTGGTGGGGTTCCTTAGCCTGGCCTGTGCCTTCTCACAATCTGGGACTCCTCGGGATTGGGCCGAAACTGGCAGTCCAACTTCCCCCAATGGATGTATCAATAGTAGTGCGGGAAGCGGCAGGAGGCTGGGGAGGAGCCCAAGCTGGGTCAGCCACTGGGTCAGCCACCTGGGTCAGGCACCATGCCATTCACGCTCCTCCAAGCCCCAATGAGCCTGCTGCTGCTGGATTTGCTGCACCTGCGCTCCCCAGCCGTGAGCCCTGTGTCTGGTGCCCACAGGTCAGCTGAGCAGCGCTCCTGCTCTGGAAGTGCACTGACCACCATGGGGCAAGCTCCTGCATTGAGCATCTGTCCCCTGGTGGTAAGTGTGCGTCATAGTGACTGGTCCAATGTTCAGTCGACCAGTCTCTGAGTTTTGTAAAAATTGGTTAGTTATTTGAGGAAAGGTCAAATGAGCTCAAGAATTATCAAAAGCATTATGAATAATTAAGGTAGAAGCCCTGAATAATTTCACTGAGGTTTTTGGATGGGTAGCTTTGAGTTTTCTTAAAAACCGTACGTCAGTATATATTTACTTTTTGAAATCTGTAAGATTTATAAGGTACATGTGGTAATTCTGCTGATACTAGTCTAGCAGAATGGGCTTAAGTCTAGGTTAATATAGCTATGCACAGTCAATTTTACGATAATGTGACACATGTGCCTAAATCACTATGCTGTGCAGAACTTCACAATAAAAATTACAGTACTTATGGGGGGGAAGGAATTAGGATCACTATACTCAAAAACATGTAAAGACAAGAACTTAATAAAAATAATAATATATTTTTACATGTGCTAAATGGTTGAGGAATACATAAATAGTACAATAACTATAGCACTTTACCTTGGAAAATTAACCTGAAATTTACTTGTGGTATTGGGCATCAGAGCAGTTTTTAAATTTATTGTGAAGTGATGGAGGAAGAGCTTTTTGGAAATTGAATAGGACATTGTCATAGGAGATGTGTATGAGTGTGGTTTATAGCACAGGCAGTGAAGTGAGGTCAATGGTACATGTTTGAGCTGTGTATGTGAGCCTTTTGTGTATTCATATGTGGCTTGGTTCAGCTGAGTGCACTTTTTTTTGTTCACCTAGTGTTTCTCACAGATGAAATAATGATAAAAAATTGATGTAATTGCAAGTGTTCCCTAATATGTAAGTTGTGGTGGAACATTCACATTTACAAAGAAAGGATTAAAACAGAACTGACCTAACTACCAACCTGATTAAATCAGGTTTGTCTGTTAGAAAGAAGCAGCTTTCATTTAATTCAAAAA